AATAAGACTCATGGCAACGAAAAGAATGACAACACGCCCATTGCTGAATCGTCTCGCTGTCGTTGTCCTGCGAATCGTCATTATCCAAATCATCACCACTGTTATCAAAAGGCGAACCAGCCACCAACACCGTTACGAGAGTGATCACCGAAATCATGAGCACGGGCATGCCCGTGATGCAGCATCTTGCTGCAGTGAGTGTTCTGCGGGGAGGTGTCGCAACGATGAGGTCGTCAGAAAGAAGCAGAAGCAGCAGCTGCAGCAGCAGCATTCACTCGTGCACTGCACAGAGGTCCTTCGCATGCGTCCTCGAAGTATAACTCTTGTGAGTTGAGAGCTGGGCGGGATCATTTTTATTCTGCATGTCACTCGCTAGCAAGTCCCACCCGGGTGATGGTCTGGCTTCTGGCACAGGTGCAGTACTGAACCGGAGCAGACAAGGTATCAGGAAGCGCAAACAGACAGCAACAGCAACAGCAGCATCAAAAGCAGCAGCAGAGCAAGTGAAAAAATGAAACGAACTAAATACATAGCTGCGAAAACGACGAAACATTGTGTAACTTTTAATGGCGATCCGAGCTGACATGGCGGCGTTGATGCTAAAGTCATGACAACAATCACAAGAAGGACGAAAAGAATGCTCATCAAAACTGGGACTAGTTCTGCAGGTCCCAAGAGTAGCAAGAAGAGTCTCAGCAACAATCGTCTGCATGTTCTTCATCCTAGGGTCTTAGAGATCTTCATGTCAAATGTATCCATGCGATACGTGCGGCCCAGATCACATCAGGCCGGCAAGCAGAAGGTTTAACACAGCTCGCATCTCGCGACTGGTGTGCACCAAAGTCAGATGCAGGTACCTCCCGAGAGTCAAGCAGGTTTGGGGTTTTGCGGTTGGGAAAAGCGAGAAACAATGCCACCCTAAACCCTGAACCCTAAACCGCCCCCGATCAAGGGCAAACAACACCGGGCCTGGACAGCCCAGCCATGACGAACAGCCTGGGCAACTGCAGTAATCGAAGGAGCTGCACGCCTCACAGCCACATGGAACTTGGTGGGAGAGGAAGCGCCTGTAAGTCTAGGCCTCTGCTTGTCAAGAGCCGGGGAAGCTTTGTATCTGTACAGATAGAATATATATATATATATGTGCAAAGACATATATATATATATGTATATATAAAGGTGTCTGTATACATATATATATATATATATGTAAATGTATGTATGTATGTATATATATATATACATATAGGACATTCAGGGGGCGCAGCTGGTGGAGTCCTGCTCTCGAAACCGCTTCTTGCGGCCGCGGCACTGCGGAGCAATGCAGAGTTGGCACCGAGGAGCACATCGACGCATTGGGTGGTGATGAGGAGAACCTGCTTTAGAGCGATTTAGGGTTTCGGGGATTTGAGAGGGTTTAGGGTGTAGGAAAAATTGACTCGGATCTGTTCTCCTTATAAAGAACGGGGCATGTTTGCCCGAAATATGGCGTCTCATGGAGGAGGGGTTGAAAACCCCAGCCCCAGACCCTAAACCCCAAAACCCCTAAACCCTGAACCATTGGTGGTTGCACAAGAATGCCGATTCGGCCCCCTACTTCGAGCCACATCTAACGAAAAGGACCCAACAACCACCGCCTCTTTCGGTGACCCATACCGCCTGCTCTGCGAACACTGAACCCTGGAAGGACCCAACGCCCGAACCTCAGAAACAGGACAAGGTTGAGGGTTTGGGGTTGAGCGGGACATCTTAACAAACCCCAGCACGAGCCTTCCCCAGTCTCTGCGGGCAAGTCCTGAAACCTTGCCGTCGCTTCCCTCACCCCGCGCCCGAAGACAAATCCTCAAACCCCAAATGCCTAACCCTAAACCTTAAATCCCTAAGTGCTAATCCCGAACCTCTAAGCCCGAACACCCCCCAAGAACCCCGAGCCCTAAACCCGGGCGAAGCCTCCAACAGAGCAAAGGGGAGCACACGCCGCCAGGTGTCCGTTGCCGACCAGGCGATCGTGGCCGAGAGGGGAATGCTCAAAAACCTCTATTGGCGAAATCGCGCATGAGGTTTAGGTAGTTTAGGCCGAATTTGCCGCATCACCAAGTCTTTGCACGCCGTGGCAAGCTATGCGGCGCAGTAGGCTTAAATGCGTGCATGCATGTACGTGGGGTGCCACAAACGAGCCTAGAATCATGCTGCAAACCCTAGACTAGAGGCCCCGAGGCGGGATGGCGACTTTAGGCTCGGCTTGCTTAGGGCATAGGGTTCATGTATCGGGATCAGCGTGGGGTATGAGCGGTATAGAACTGCGGCTTGTGGCTTTAGGGATGTTCAGCAGGGTTCAGGGGTTGGGCTGGATTTGCGCTTCCGTCTGGGCTTGGAGTCTGGAGCTTCTGTTGGTGGCCTTTGCTTGAACCCTGATAGAAGTTTAGGGTTTAGGGTTTAGGGCCCTCTACATACAATGCCCTATAGAAAAGCGTTGGAGCCGTCTTAAAACCCTGCGAAAAGTGCACATCGGAGGGGCTCGAAGGTGGTTATTGAGAGGTCCGTAGCCAACGCATACTTCCCCTCAAAGGCGATCAGAGGCCAGCGTACCACATCCTGGGTTCTTCTCAAGGAACTTATTTTAAGCCACCACAATGAGGAAACCATACTACTAGTTGACTATAGATCCCTATCAATATGGTAACTTAAACTAAATTACTTCAAAAAACCGAGCATCTAGGAGGATGACGGAAAGGAAAACACCCGCCCAGATCTGCACAAGAGGATGGGAACACCTCTTCTTCTGGGACACGGCAACGAGATGAACTGTTTGGGTGTTCTGCGTCTGCGTCATTGCCACGGAGGCCCTCCGGGTCATCTTGCTCATGTGGGTGCTGTCATGAATCTGGGTCCAGCAATCCTGGGTTCTTGTTAAGGAATGTATTTCAAGTTACCATGATAAGTCTCAATAAGGAAACAATGTCACTTACTATAAGCCCCTGCCCTATTATGGTAACTTACAACAACATTCCTGAACAAGAGCCCAGAATCATTGAGTTCAAAAGCCTCCAAAGATTCCTCACTCGCGCTTTCGATCTCCAGAAGATCATCGGCGATGTTCACGGAGCGCATGGACCTCCGGCAGGGGCTGTCCTTGAACTGCGCGGCCAGAGGAGGAGGCTCGCAGCTGAGAGGAGGAGGCTCGGACTTGGGGCTCGGCACTTTTTGAGGCCGCTCCCCCAATCCTTAGCTTCCCAGAGACTCCAATATTCCTTAATTAAGGAATATACCTTAAATCCATATTAAGGATCCTAAAAAATTTGAGAAACATTCCTTAATGAAGGGATATTGGAGTCTCTGGGTTAGCTTTGGTTAGCAGGGAATGGAGGTATGGGGTACCGGGTACAATTATGACTATTATAACTACAATTCTTCCATTCTCTACTCACCAAAGGTAAGAATCGAATCGTATCATTGGTGGAGTCTTTCGTCGATAGGATCGGTGGCTCGGAAGCAGTGAGGGGCGAGGGACCTTCCCCGGAGCTGCTCTGACACCCAGAGGCCGCCGAGCCCACAAACTCTTCCTTCGTGTTCCTCTCACAGTCCGCCAGCAGCTTTACGAGGAGCCTCTCGATTTCACCCAAGACTTCCTGAAGGGTCTTTTGCTGGAATTCTACCATGGCAAAACCGGAGACAAGCGAGGATCAAGGATGAAGCACTCTTAGGTGAAGACGGCTCTCCCATGTGCACAGAAGCTGTTGCCAAAGTTGCTTTGATGACCACAGAGCAAGGCTGGGAGCCGGAAAAGCAGCGCAACTTTGCTGTAAGGTTTAGCTTGAAGGGATGTTCATGCCATTTGCGGGGCTTCTGGGGTTCCATCTACCTTACTTTGAAGCGTATATAGGGTATTATGGGGCAGACCGCCTCCGAGCGCGAGGACCGTTGCCGTCAAACCCAAAAGAGACGACACAGTGCCGGAAAAAGGGCCCTGGAAAGGGACCCCCACTGACCCCCACTGGAACCCCTATGGTAACCCCTTTGCAGCTTCATGCATGGGGCCTTCAGTATGATAAGACGATGATGCAAAAGCATCCGATGTTCCTCGTGGCATGAGACCCTACATCGTCAACCCCACAATGCTCAGCAACCTCCAGAGTCGTCGTCGTGGCTCTCTCAGGTTGCTCTTCGGTTATGGCTACAGGTCAAGGCCCTCCTTCGAACCATTACAGTACAGGGAACTCCAGAAAGTTGGAATATGGTTTCATGGTAGGATACCCTGTAATTTACCATAGAAGGGTTAGGATAATCATATTCCAACTTTCTGGCTTCTACAGTAAAGGAGCGCTGAGATCGCTCCGAACTCCTCGTCTGCCAGAGTGCTCAACAATCAGACCGTCAGACGGTCCCCTCAAACTTGAACGCCCAGTACCCAGAGAGTATGGGGAAGGCATATGAGTAGCGACACTCTTCCTGAAGCGTTCCGCAATGTCATTCTAGTATCGAAGGCCCGACACACCCAAACCCTAGAGCCTAAACCCTAAACCCGAAAGCCTAAACCCTCTCCCAAGAGCTGGGAGGTTGCAGCGCCCGTGGCCTTCCAGAAAGCCCGGATCGGTCCAGAACCTGGAAGCCGAGGTGTTGGCTTTTAGGGTTTAGGGTTTAGAGTCAGTTTAGAGCTTAGGATTTAGGACTCAGAGTTTAGGGCATGGTTCGGGTATTCTCATAAAGGTGTACCAGGGTTCGAAAATGACCCTTAAACCCTAAACCACAATGATTTGATAACGACAGTGCTTTCTCGGGTTCTCGAAGTTAAACTCTTCAGCTTGCCGGTGCTTAGAGACGGCTCAGACTGGGCTCAGAGAGGAATCAACAAGCGGCCGTGGCCGTGACTTTCTCCACCCATGCACTCGCCATTGTCCTGCAGGTGAGCGACCCGAGCTGGTTTAAAAGGACCAGGGCCTGGCACCACCAGGAGCCCTGGTAGCAGGCGGCGATGCCCAGAGAAAGAAGGATGGCATCCGTTTCAGGAAGCTCCCTCATCAAGCACAGGGCCTGTTCCCACTCTGCCACCTGGACGCAAGCACCCACGACTGCGCTGTAGACGAGCTTGTCTGGCCCCCCTGACTCCGTTTCTGTAGCCTTTACAAGAGTCAAAAGAGCCACAGCCATCTCCCAGGCTGAGGCCCTCTCGCAGGCGCTGCAGGCCGCGCTCAACGTGACGGCGTTGGGAGCGGTTTCGGGGAAGTCGCTGAGGAGCCGCAGGGCGTGCTGCCAGCGCGCGGCACGATCCAAGGCACTCACCGCCGCGCTCAGAGCCACCACGTTCGGCTGCAGCTGGGACCTCTTCAGCTCCGCAAGGAGCTGTAATGCCGAATGCCACTGGGAGACCTGCAAGGTAACTTCCCACTGATCATGCTTGCCTGACTTGGCCTTCGAACCGTAAGAACGGCCCCAAATTCTTGCAAGACATCTCCCCCATAACCCGGCGGTGCCTTCTCGCAGGCACTGATGGCAGCGCTGTAGGTGACCACGTTCCCCTCCAGGCGGCGGCGACCGAGCTCGCCTAGAAGCTGCAGGGCCTGCTGCCACAGGGCAGCGCGTTCGCACCCCGTGATGAGGGTCCCGAAGCTGACAACATCCGGCCGCATCTTCTGCGCGACCGCAGCATTCAGCAGTCGGATCGCCTCATCTCAAGAATCTAGAGAATACCGGCTTGCGTGCAACACTCACACTCGCAGAGCAAAATTCTGGTCTCCCTGCGCCTGCTGCCATTCGGAGGAATGGGAAGCGGCGCTCAGGGCAGCATTCAGGGTCCTGGGTTCTTGCTAAGTGATTTAAGTTATCATAATAGGGAACCCTGTGATTTACTATAGATCCCTACTATGGTAGCTTAAAATAACTTCCCCGAACAAGAACCCAGGGTCACCACGTCGGGCTCCAGGCCCTTCAGTGGGCCATGGAGTAGCTGAAGGAAGGCCTGAAAGCCCCGCTGCCACACAGAAGCTCGCTCCTGGGCCGTTCCCAGAGACTCCAATATCCCTTAATTGAGGAACATTCCTTAAATTATGGTAGGATCCCTTATATGGTTTAAGGTATAATTCCAATAAAGGGATATTGGAGTCTCTGGGTTCAAGGGCTCTTAGGGGGCCTTAAGACTTAGAGTAGGGTTCCTTTACGCACAGGGATCCTTAAAGGGGTCTAGAGGGGATCTATAGTAGGGTTCTATAATATACTGTAGGGGCCTTAGTAATTGGAATAAGGTCTTGGGGTATATTATACTAGAAATATAAGAAGGAAACCCCCAAAATAGTAGGAGAAGCACAAGCGGACCGTGTTTGAGCCAAGTCGCACAGGCAGCGATGGCCGCGTTGTGGGTTACAATGCTGGGCCACACGTTGTCAGAAGCCATCTCGGCCATGAGTTCGAAGACAAGGCACCACTGACTGGATACTCCGAAGCTTGTGATGGTAGAGTTGTAGGTGATCACATTAGCCTTCCCGGACTTCGTCTGGCCCCGCAGCAGATGCAAAGCCAACTCCCACTCCGACTCCAAGGAGCTAATCGCCGCGCTAAAGGTGATCACCTGGGTTCTTGTTAGGGAGTTTATTTCAAATTACCATAGTAGGGATCTATAGTAAATCATATGGCCCCTTGCTATGATAACTTAAACTAAGCCCCTTAAGAAGAACCCTAAACCCCAAACCTTAATCCCCAAACCCTAAACCTTAACCCTAAAACCTAAATCCTCTAACAGGAACCCAGCTACGTCCGGCAGAAGATCTCTCACTTCCAAGTCTGCGAGGACTTGCAAGGCACGTTGCCACTGTGCTGCCTTGGCACAGGCGCTGATACCTTGGTTCTTGAACTTAAGCTCCCAGAATAGGGATCTATAGTAAGTATGTGGTTTCGATATTATAGTAACCTAAACTAAATCCCTTAACAACAACCCAGATACAGGCGTTCTGCGAGATCAGGTCTGTTTGGAGGAGCTGCCGTTCTGCGTCGAGGACCATTTCCAAGGCACCTTGCGAGACTGGCGCGAAGATCTCTGACAATTAAGAAGGGTTCAGGGTTTGGGGTTTAGGGTCAACAACCCTTCCATGCAGTTGAGTTGCTGAGCCACATGCCCGCTTTGGCACAAGCACTGATACCCGCATTCAGAAGCACAAGGTCTTTCTGCAGTCCTTGCTCGCTCACCTGAACCAAGAGCACCAGCGCCTTCTGCCAACTCGCAGACTTCTCGCAGGCGCTGATGGCCGCAGTGAAGGTGAGCTCGTTTGCTTGCAAGGCCCTGGCCAGAGCCTCATGCAAGAGCTGCAGGCCCAGCTGCCACTTGTAGGATTTCTCACACGCCCCAATCGCAGCAGTGTAGGAGATGATGTCAGCCTGCAAGTTCTGCGTCCAAAGGCTGCACAAAAGCAGCAGAGCTCCTTGCCAGTCACTCTGGCGCTTACAAGCATTGATGGCTTTGTTGCAGGTGATGAGCGCCGCCTTCTGTCCCTGGCAGCATCTTTGATGCATACTTTGACATGCTCCGCCTGTGCCATCGCGCGTGGTCTGAGACACTCAGTCTACCGGTCTACACGACCTGGTCTGACAAAAGCTTGCCACACATGTGCAATTAGCAGACACTTCGGGCTGCGAGTCTTACTCAAGGATAGGCTATTGTCCAGCTCGAAACCACCACATGATGTGCCCTGCAGGATGTGTCTCTGTGAGCTCTTTCTTCAGGCCCTCGCTCGGCCTAGCATCCACAGCGCCGGTGAAGTCCCACTGGGGACCTCGCAAGCACGGCAAGCTGTTCAGGGTTTAGGGTTTATAGTGTGGAGCATTGTGCTACTTCCATGACAGGCGGAATGGCAAAGCGGCAAAGCGAGCGTGACGCAGACTCTTTCAGCAACTTCAATGCCAATGACTCGGATGGGTCAAAAAAATCTGCCGGAACTTCTGTCTCGATGCAGAGAAACTCACATGCACTGTTGCAACCCTAACTTGATGTCAGAGGTTGTAAATGCCACACACGGAGCTGCTGTACACCGCGTGTAGGCCCCGTGAATTTCGAGCAAAGACTCCCGCGGCTCAGCCAAATAGCCAAAACGCAACATCCTTGCCAAAGATTTACCTTTGGTTCGTAGGGAATGGAAGAATGGTAGTAATAGTACTTATAATTATACCCCATTCCTCCATTCCCTACTAACCAACGGTAAGAAAATGCATGAGCTTTCCTGTGAAGCCCCGAGCATGCCTAGACTACAGTGTTAGCAGTTTGCCAGCCCCCGCAGAAGCCACAAAGTGGAAAGTCCGGTGCATCTTCAAGCTTGTCCTCTGTTCCAGGCACTACCGAGTCGTCCTCTTTCGGTGCCGTTGTCACCGTCTCTCCATCATCGTGCGCATCCCTGTCCATGGATTTCACAGGTTCCGGCATGACATCCGTCTCCTGCTGCAGTACCTCCAGCACGTCGGGCTCCTGGATGAAGTGGGACTCTTCCTGTGTGTCCTCCGCCTCTTCCATCACCTCGGGCAGTCGCTGCGAACGATGCTCCTCGGGGATCGCGGCTGAGACTTCCTCTATGACGGGCGACGGAGCGTCCTCGCACTTCTCCACTGCCTCGTTCTCCGGGTCCGGGCGCGTCTCTGCCATCGGAGCTGCACGCGCCTTCGATCCTGAGCATCCCATGGCCGCAGATATCTAACAATCTAAGAAGCGCGGATGACACACGAGCTCCCGCTACGGCAAGAGCACTCGGGAGACGGGATCTCTTTGGACTTCTCGCTGAATCGGGCCGGTGGCAGGTCAACGAGCAAAAGCATGTAGATTCCAATGTAGATGCTACCCAAGACAGAGGATTCAGCTGCTGCTACTTTCGCAGATCAATGAAAAACATCGGGAAAAGGCAAACATCTGCGCTGTCGGCAGCAGTCTCTCGGCAACACGCATATCTGAGACCCGCGCTTGCACTGTTAGCCTCGCCGAGGGCCGTGGCCCCGGCCGCAGTGAAGGGGTGCTTAGGGCTGTTGGGGCTTTCCGTGTTGCCAGATTGCCCGTGCAACACATGGCACGTGAGGGTGTTGATCAAGTCACGGATTTCCTACGGCGTGTTAACAACCAACGCAAGAAAAAGAACAAAATGGGAATGAGACTGCACCATGCATGTATGACCCTGAGCGACCCGTCAATCATAGAAACAAGCTTCAAACACATGAAGTGGATCCTATATTGCTTCCAAAGTTTCATGTCGAAAAATCGTTTTGACTTCTTGAGGAGTACGCACATGTCAAAGGTGAAAGGCATGAGTGCAACCACATGCACGACAATGAATCACATTCTGTAACTGCGGATGAAAGGGGCTCACAATCTTCAACACCCCGCGTACGAAATTGCTGATTGAAACCTCGCAGAATGAAGATTCGTGGTAGAGAAGATTTGCCCATCGCTATTCAACAGCAGCTTGCACTTTGTAGTTCAATATGTTAGGGGTTTCGTCTAACACTAACTCGTTAAAGGGCTTGGAGCCACAATCTTAAAATATAAGTTATCACCTTCATACAACATCAGTTATCCCCGGCATAAGATAACAGTCATCTCTATTGTAAAATAATACTTATTTGTGAAATACCATGATTCCTCATAACATGCACAAATCCTTGATAGAATATGATTTTTTTGTTTATGTGAAAAACGTGTGACCTTTCCGCTTACTCCCTTAAAGTAACGTTTCTACCGCGCACATGTTGCGGTAACGGATAGTACATGCAATCGCTGAAGTTTTACGCACGCAAGCACGACACAGAAACACACACAGACACACAGACACACAGACACACAGACACACAGACACACAGACACAGACAGACACAAACACACACGAGAGAGACACCGCACAGAGGACTAGACTGCAGTCGAACCACAAATGGACGCACAGATTGACGTGCAGGACAGACGGACAAACACACAAGAAAAGAGACACGCGGACACGACAAGCACACGACACAACAGAGACACCACACAGACAGCATTACATTGGCCTGCTCGCAAACACAGCACATGATCCAACTCAAACAACGGAGAACGCAGAACACACACTCAAGCTCGCAAGAAGACGAAAAGGCAGCCACATGTCCGCAAAAAACCTTCTTGTTTTATGCCTGTCTCACAGCAGAAAAAGTGGAAGAAGCTTCAAAGAAGCAAATTACTCCTTCTCACTGTAATTACAGCATTGAACAAAGAGGCCGCCCAAGTTCGAGTCCACCAATCTTCGCAAGTGGTGCCGTTGATTTCGGCTGGCCGGCGGCAAATTGAATTGTTGGCGGAACACCGCTCACAGGAGCACAAATCTCGGTCGGGTGCCTTCCAAGCCCTGGCCTGAACCTTGACAAGGTGTACATGCTTCAACTGCCGGTGGCAAAACACCGATTGGGCCACTAAATGTTTGTTCTCCACTGCATTCCCAAGTCCTCTGCTGGAAACATCATGCGCTTGCAATGTTTGTGGTAGGTCCGCCACAGGCAGAAAGCAACAGGGCATCGAAGCCACATAGACGAAACACTGTGCCGTCAAGAACTCGCACGAACGTGGACAACGCAAGAAGCAAGTTTGGAACAGGTGCATTTCTAGTGTTCTTGTGCATATCTGCAGCAACGTTGACAATAACAGCATATAAATTGAAAACTTTTTCCAGAAAATAATGTCGCAACACGAAAGATTGTTAATTGCACTTGGCAAAAAGTTGCAAGCCATTGCAAAAGATTTCGGCGAAGAAAGCTACACTTGAAAGCAGTTGGCTTCCGACAGCGGCTACATGCGGTACAGTTGTAACTTTTTTCGGCAGCACGTCTTCTCTGCATGCTGCAAGATGTTTAGGACAGCACCGGCACCTCTCGCCGGGGACCACCCACCCAGTCACAAAAAGTCCGGGTCAAGTCGTGCCTCTTAGGCAACACCTGTGCAAATTCATCTTGCGACAAAGCTTGCTCCAGACTGGGCATTCCCTCCGGGAACAGCGAGGCAAGCTTGCGATGCAATTTTCGTTCGGATGCGGGAAGTCCTGCATGTGCAAAGGCCTTCCAAAAGGGACGATGCGTCCAGTAGTCTGTACACGCTTGGGAAATGGTTTTAAACCATGTCTTTACAGACAAGAGATGTCAATTTTGACGAATTCTTTGCTGGCGGTTCTCGCGCTCCAACCATTTCTTATACGGTCCAAAGCACCATAAGTCTAAAGGCTGCAGGTAGGACGTCAAGCCGGGGGGCACCGGCAGCATGAACAACCCCTACAAACGTTCTTATGACGCCCGGCGAAAGATGGCACGCGGCTGCGTCGAAGACAATCCTCACTCTTGTTGTGAATTCCCAACTCCAAAAAAGTGATCACCGTTTCTCTTTTTGCTTACGCAGCCACTCCATCCAACAGCACAGCTTATTGAGCTGCAGGTTCATGGACACCAACAGCAACAATATTCTGTGGCTTAAGCTTTGAAATCGAACAAATGTAGAAAGATACTTCCGCAACTGGGGAGGCCCCTGTGGCGCACCCGTTTTCGAAGGGTTTTTCGGTCTCGAACATGAGCCCGTCAGATCTGTCAAAATGAAGGTCGAAACAAGGTCCGGGATACTCTGGAGGCTCCCATGGAGTAACGAATTCGTAGCAATTGCTACAGTTCCAACTACTCCGTACCCCACTACTCCGCGCGACTCTGCAGGGCCGCTGAGACGTTTTGACTCGCTTCAAACTACACCAACTCTTTCTATTCTGATTTACTAAAACGTCGCATGGAGTAACGAATTCGTAGCAACTGCTACAGTTTCAGTTACTCCGTACCCCACTACTCCGTGCGACTCTGCAGGGCCGCTGAGACGTTTTGACTTGCTTCAAACTATACCAACTCTTTCTATATTCTGATTTACTAAAACGTCGCATGGAGCAACGAATCACCTACTCCGTACTCCGCGCGACTTTGCAGTGCCGCTGAGATGTTTTGACTTGCTTCAAACTATGCCAACTCTCTACTCTGATTTACTAAAACTTTACGAATTCGGAGAAACTGCTACAGTTTCAGCTACTCCGTACCCCACTCCGCACGACTCTGTCAGAAGGTGCGGCAAATTCCTTGCACGCTCTTTCCATTCTGAATTCCAAAAACGTCGCATCATAATGCTCAGGAATGTGTTGCAGCACTGTCCGCAGTGCCTGATCGCGTGGTATCATGCTTGCAAGAGTCATGCAAAGGCTCAGAAAAATGTTGCCTTCTGCATTTCTGGACCATTGTTTTTTGCGCCGGGCGCGGCGTCGCGCGCGGTAAACTTAACCACTTAGAACGCCGAAGGGCGGCGCGGCGTCAGCCGTGCCGCTGCAGATGCGACGCCCCCTTTTTGGCTGGCAAGCGCACCAAAAACCGCTCTGCCGGCCCCATAGGCGCACCTTTCTGCAGGCGTGGCGCCTGGAGCGGCGCACACCCTGACTTGGATGCCAAGCCGCGCATGCATTTGGCCATGGACCAAAATCATCTGCTGGTTTGCCTTG